GCACCCTGCTCTGCACACGCTGGTAGTTCTCACAAACCGCCAAAGTAAGCACAAAAACGCTGTTTTAACGAACTGTGGGAGAGAGAAAAAAATAAAAATAAAAGACGAAGTAAGAGAAAAGAAAATCCTTGGAATTGTTGTACATATATTTTTGTTGTTTTTCTCATTTGTTATAAACGCGCCTGTAGCTTAGTACTGGCGAGCATGAGTTGATGTCCATCAGCGTAATTCAACTTCAATTAATTTAACATTTCCCCCCCCCTCCCCCTCCCCTCCACTCTTCCACCAGATGCCGGGCAACGTGCGAAACACCGGCCAGACTGACTCGCACAGGCCGCCCATCACCGCCGCCTCCCGCACCAAATCCCTCGACTGCTTGGCCGACAAATCTGTGCGTTCGAGTTTGCGTGTCTCTTGTCTGAGATAATTTTTTATTTTGGATTTACTGGGAGTCGGGGATTATGTTTTTTTTTAATTAATTTGTTTTTTTTTGTGAGGTTCAGTGATTAGTTTCATGATTTTTTTGGTGGGATTCAGGGATTATTCGAATTATTTTTCGTTATTATAGTCGCTTCATTTTCATTTTAATGTGTATATCATTTATTTCGGGTTAGGGAGAAATATCCTTGTGCGATAGGTCCAATAAATGAATTTGTTAAATCGGACATTGTAATATGCTCGTTTCCCTCGCCAGGACAAAACAAGTGAGTATGTTCCTTCGAGGATCACGCGGACGCAGCCCAAGATCAAGACGGATGCTATGCAGTTCGTAAAGGTGAGTTTTTTTAATTTTATTTATTTATTTATTTATATTTAGGAGGAGCTTTTAGCCTCTTAGTATTTTTTACCATTATTTGATTTATGATTTATTTTTTTTCGTGTTATCGAAGTCTGTCTACTTCTTGATAGCGTGAAGTGTTTGTGAAAAGTGTTGGAGAATCAGTGTGAGTTCTTCACGTCACTTTGGTAGTCCGTAAGTTGCTCGGGCACTTTTCGCAAACACGTTCACGTTTGTCAAGAGGAATTGGGTTTGGTTTGGAAACGGGCGCGACGCAGAAGCCCGGGTATGAATGGTCCTGAGCCAGCCTGTAGGAGGGCAGGCTCGGCTCTCTGTTTTCTTGTGGTAACAGTTGCGAGTGATATATCGCCTCGGCTTGCATGCAATATGGCAGAAGGCATTGCATGACTTATCCATATAAAAAAGAAATATCATTGGACTCTTAATCTTTATGCTAAAGTGCCTTATTTTTCTCCCTCCCGGTCCAGCCTCCTTCAAACTTTGCACACAATCGGTGGCAGCGCTCTCAGGTAAACTATGTAGCCATGCACAGTAAAGTCCTGCCGTTGCAAGCCCCTGGCAGGACTCTGACAATGTAATCGCCACACTCGCATGCTTTCTGTTGGCATCGTTATTATTGTTTCGTCATTATTATTGTTATCATTCATTATTATTATTGTTGTTGCCATCATTAATATTATTGTCGCCAGGCGTGTTTTATCATTACTATTACTACTGTGATTAAGATTATCTTGGGATGTTAGTCATCCACCAGCTTACTTACTCATGTCGGCGAATGTAATGGCGGCACACTAGACTGGTAACACTTGACGCTAATTGAAACAAGCAACGCGGAAAGTTGCCTTCCTGTACTTCTTTAGGGCTAAAATTCTGATTTCAGGAAACCCTGTTTTCAGTACATCCAGTGCCTGCAGCTGAAGTTTCAACTTCGATTTCGTATATATTTTCGTATATATATATATATATATATATATATATATATATATATATATATATATATATATATATATATATATATACATATTCATGTATGTATGTATGTATATGATATATATACACATACATTTATACTCATGCATGTATTAAATAGATGTAGATAGCGAAGTAGACTACAAGTAGAGTAAGTGTTTCACGCCGCGCCCTTCCCTCGCCCACAGACCGGGCCGGCAGGGCTGTACAAGTCGGCGACGGAGCAGATCAAGAAGGCCGAAGCCGTGAAGGCGATGAGGAAGCACCTGATCGCCGAGGAAGAGGACTGGCAGCAGGTGCGTGTCTCTCGGCTCGAGTCGCCTCCTCTCGGCTTCTCCCCCTCCCCCGCGGCTCTGTTTGGGCCGTCGTAATGACTGATCTCTCTAACGTTGCGAGGGCCAAGGGACGAGCAAGGGAGAGAGATATATAGGTTGTTATGACGGAGCAAAAAGAGGTTGGTCGGGGAACGTCGGTGTCGTTGTGGTGAGCTCTTGAGGCCCGCCATGACGACACGCGGGGAGATTTCGCCGAGGACTTTTATCATCTCCTTGGTTATTCCTTCTCTCTTTTCGCCTTGGAAACTAACAGAACCCCAATAGCATTTTAACTGAATCCTGCACGGATGCACAGTTGATTAAACCCCTTTCCAAGGAATTCATTCGTAGGAACTGTTCAAGGATTCGGGTGTTTGTCACCGTACCTCTCGCTCTGGGGGTGTTGGCCTTCAAGTTTTAATATGAACAAGTAGCAAATAAATGTAGACTAACCATCCTCCCCCTCGTGAACAAGGGTGTGAGTCTCGGCCGGTGGAAGTTACTAACCTACGTCGAGAGGCATGCCATGTCTTGCAATGACGAAAAACAAACATCGATTCTTTCATTCACTAACGATGGACCAGTGCCGGCACTTCGGAACCTCACGTGCTGTGGAAAAAAAAGAGAAAAAGAGTAACAAAAGATACGTCAGTGAGTTCGCAGTTTTTTTGAAAAAAGAGAGCGGCTGCAGCATTACGTAACAACAGAGTCTGAGCACATGAGGTTCCTTTTGCCGAGCGCCACGTGTGTAATGAATGGCGTGGTGGAATTAAAACAGCATTAGATTCCTTTTGCAAGAACCTGGGTATTGATTAACATGTGTCTTGGTTAGCTGCATGTGTTGTTGTGAATCCCGGGGTAGAATAGCATATGTTAACACAACACGTGCGTTGTATATACTTGTGTGTATACAAGGTAAGATGGATTCCGCTATGTGCGTGTACGTGTGGGTGAGCGAATGTAGGTGAGCAAGCTAACTGTATTATTGATCGTCCATGATTTTAAAGTAATGAATCTTTCATTGCATTATGTGTGCATTTTGAAATCTCCGTTTATGTTGTTGCATGTCAGTGTATGTAAAGGACTGCCAGTGCGTGGATGCAATTTCAGTGCAGCATGTTGAATTGTGTTATAATTCTAGAGTAAATGCTCGTCTTCGGGAATGTGGCTGGAGAACTATATAGAATCCTTATAACTGCATTAGTAAAATCATGGCTAGAGGAAAATATTGTTGAAAACCTGAACAAAATTATATAATGTGACATGAAATATAGTAGAGGATGGTCGCATACAACAGGACGATTTTTTTAAAATGTAGAAAATAATCCAACGGATATAAAATTCCAACGTTAGATCCTCTCCAGTACAGATCTCGAGGACACTGCAAGCGATAGATCTGCATAGAGCATTTAGAACTGGCATAAACGAAATTTTCTCCAACGTATCCAGCATTTCGCTAAGACTTTGTTCTGCAACTGCCGCCAACACTGTCTTGTTTTCTTTTCCTACGCGCTTTAAAGTTATCTTTCTTGATCATCTACATCCTTGTTTCCTGACTTGAGATTCAGGTACTAGACAGAAGATCATTAGTTTAAGTAGTCAAGTAGATGATGTTTTATCTTTAAATATAGCTCAGGGTGGAGTTACGAGCAATTAAGTGGGTATGGGTATTTTTGCCCTTCAGTTCTCCTGTAAACGTCTTCTCCGTCGGTCGTGATGTTTCGTAGGACTAATCAAACCGCAAGAATTAAACGCTAATCTGTAAGCGTCTCTTGTTCAGTGTTTGTTCTAACTTCTGTGTAACTAACCATACTAATGCAAGTACTAACTCAGTATTAAGTAGCATTTTTCTGAACTGCTTTTTCTTACCTTTTTTATGATTATTTACTATTGTTGTTTCTCTCATTTCAGTTTGTTTGATGAAGTAAAGTTTTATGAACAGATAACTGAACACAAAAAGTATTGTTAACTCATATATAACTCATTTAGAAGTGTTTTTTTTTCAAGATAACTTTATAACTCATGTAACTTTTTTTTTTCAACTAAAGTATTTTTTGATCGTGTAGGTGTTATGCAAGTGTGTTTTGACTGAGCCGGGAGTGAAAAAGCGAGTTGCTCCTCTGAACACCTCACCACCGCCACTGTTGATCCCTTTGTAGCAAGTCATTATTAACCACAAATGCCTTCCCCGACCCCCCACCCCCCCGGACCCCTTTCCCCCCCATTCGTCTAGTGACTGGAAATGTTTCATGTCAATAACAATGACTACCGCACCGTATTTCCCCCCTCTCCCCCTTCCCCCACCCTCTTTCCATATTTTGTGAGAATCCAATTATTTTGTTCGAATTCTGCCTTCGTCGCCGAATGATAATGGGATATTGTTTCCAAATCCCCCCCCCCCCCCCCTCCAACCGCCCCAACTCTCCCCCCCCTCCAACCGCCCCCCCTCCATCTTTCCCAGTAAAAAAAAATAGTACGGGGCCATTGTTTTGTTCGTTGTTTTATAGAGCATGAGTTTTCTTTTTCTTTTTTTTTTGCTTAGCATAGCTGGCGAGTACTTAGTGGTGAAGGTAGATGGAGAGAGAGAGAGAGAGAGAGAGAGAGAGAGAGAGAGAGAGAGAGAGAGAGAGAGAGAGAGAGAGGGAGAGAGACGGTTCAAGTTCTCATAATTTTATACAGTATCGCAAAATTTGTAATCTGCTGATGCTTATGAAACTGTATTAAATATCACATTTAGGAAACAGTAATTCCCTTTAATATTGACATAAATTGATAATGATTTGCTTTAAATTGATAACTGGAAAAAAAACTATCATGATAAACGAGAATAAAAGAAATGATCAACTATAACTGAATTTCAGATACTTTTTCAGTGTCTTCTATGCCATCAAGGTCGAAAGAAGTAAACTGGTATTTAATAGACATAAAACCTCTTGTCCCTTGTTAGTTAATCACTCGGGTCTTAGCTTTTTTCCATTACGTCATTTTACTTCATTACCAGACCCTTTGGATTAGTGTACTTGAATCGGTGAAATATCAAGAAAGAGTGAATGAACGTGATACACACTTATAACAGCAGAACAGGTGTGTGTGTGTGTGTGTGTGTGTGTGTGTGTGTGTGTGTGTGTGTGTGTGTGTGTGTGTGTGTGTGTGTGTGTGTGTGTGTGTGTGTGTGAGAGAGAGAGAGAGAGAGAGAGAGAGAGAGAGAGAGAGAGAGAGAGAGAGAGAGAGAGAGAGAGAGAGTGAGAGTGAGAGTGAGAGATAGTGCGTGAGTGTGTGCACGTGCGGGTTGTGGCCGTCGTGTGGGCTAGTCACTGACAGTGTCCGTTCCTCCACTAGCAGCCCTCCTCCTCCTCCCAGTCCAAGAGCCCCTACGACGAGGACACAGATTGGCAGACGGTAAGTGCCCATATTTCCCGTCCCCTTTTGTCGTGTATCAACTGCGAGTATAAAGCGGTTTTCCCCGTGCGCTGTCTTGTGTGTGTGCGCTTCCTTTCCCGCACCGATCCACCTGTTATTTTATTATTATTACTCTTGTTATCTGTATTATGATTTTGAAGTGAGCTCTTTGTCGCACTCAAGCCGTCCAAGCAGCGGCTCTCTGTCACTCTTGGTGGTATGACCTTTTATGGCACTGTGATAACCTTCATTGACCGAAGCTTTCCCGAAGCATGCACGTTAGTTTTATTAAGGAAATCTGATTTTGTTTCCTACACCAGTGCACCACAAAAGAGTTATGCTGTGCATTTCTTTCCTGTCTCAGTATTATTATTATTATTATTATTGTTATTATTATTATTATTATTATTTTCCCTTTTTTTACACATAGATATTGGTATGATTTTGTATACAAAAAAAGCTTATTATATACTCTGCTTTAGCAAGCATATAGATTTTAGATGCTTTAAGACACTGCTAGTTGTAAGTAGAATAAACATGCTCTTCTTACACGCCTTAAGCATTAGTAGGCCTTATGTGAGTATTTGATAAGATGGATGTTCGATTCTCGTCTACCTTAGCATAGAGAAGTGATGGGCTGCGTTGTCAGGGAATTTTGCTGGTGTAATATCACGTGAGCGGGTGTTCATGGGCCTTCTAGGGCTTCTAAGTGGAGTTCGCCGGGACACTGGGGATGAACCACGTCAGTGTGTGTTGAGAACCGCTCTGGTAGAACCGGCAGGAGGGCGGGTCGTGGTTAGATTAGTTAGTAGGGAGGCGGGGGCGTTGTTGTTTGCGCGCCTCTTTTGTTTGTTTGCCTTTCTTGTGTGGTGGAAGAGATTTTGGTGGCACGATGTGACTGAAGGGATGGCTGAGATTTTCACACTACGTGAACTCTTGGGCGTCCTGTGGAGTCACGGTTCATATGAGGAGTTCGAGCAGGATCTGTTGGTAAGCAGCTGTCATAAGCAATTTAGTTCTTAATTGAAGGATGGGTCTAGTCACTATATTTTATCAAGTAATTAGGTGTGTCTAACCTTTTTTTTGTTAAGTGTTCTTATAGTTATTATTTTTGTAAGATTCATAATGGGAAGAATAAGTTTATTGGGATAGTTTTTCATAGAGGATAATAAAATGGGCTTGCTTTTATAGAATTTGTGATTTACACCTGTTTTGGTGAATATTTAGGCATTCGAGTATGTTTTTTTCAAGGTTGTACTCTAAATTTGTAAATTTGATTTATATATGTACTTTTTGGCTTATACGTTGATGTACAGATTTAGTTGTTAGTTTCATATTTGTTAAAGATTGTCTTTTGCACCCGTCTGTCTCCAGAATGAACACAAAACAGAATCACATAAACAGAAAAACTTCACAGAAAAAGCGAATAAAAATAATTTTGAAAAATAACCGTACCACGCACACCCACGTGCTCTCACGCATGTTTGCGCGCGCGCGCCCACACAAACACACACACACACACACACACACACACACACACACACACATATTTGACACCTTATTTGTTACATTTCAAATCAAATTTACCTTATGTTTATTATTGTCATTATTATATAAAAAATATAACAGTAAAGTATGGTGAATTATTTTAAACTAACTATCCAAGCTTTACTTCAGTTAACTATTATTGATATTTCATCCTTTGTTCACTGTCTAAATAATGTTACTGAATATCCATTAGCTTTGCCACTGCAGATGCAATGTCAACCTTAATCGCAGTTTCTCTCGGTGCAATTATTCCATAAAAAATACATATCCATCCATAAACAGCTATTTCCGCACCTCAGAGCATTTCGTGCAAGAAACCCCAAGCTAACGAAATCCCCAACATTGCAGAACTTGGACAAATGGAAAAGCTCCCGGAGAAAGCGGAACGAGGACGCGCTCGAGAGAGTCATCGAGATCAAGAAGAACGAGCAGGAGGAGGAGCTGAACCGAACGCGGCGCAAGAGCAAGACCTTCAGCGAAATGCAGGAGGAGAAGTGAGTCGCGCCGCCGAGGGGGGGAGGCTGCCCCGCGCCCCGGGCGAGGCCGCCGCTCAGGCCGCGCAGGCCTATCATGCCTTGTTATGTGTGTGTGTGTGTGTGTGTGTGTGTGTGTGTGTGTGTGTGTGTGTGTGTGTGTGTGTGTGTGTGTGTGTGTGTGTGTGTGTGTGTGTGTGTGTGTGTATGTATGTATGTATGTATGTATTATATATGTATACACATACATAATACGTACATACACACACACACACACGCGCACATACACGCATACATAGACACATGCATACGCACACACGCGTGTGTATGTATGCATGTATATATAATTGCGCTGATGTGTACATACCCAGTGTATGTTTCCCCACCACTGGACAATATTGAACTAATAAGTGCATTTCCAACGAAAAAGTAAAAGTGGATTCCTTTCCTCCACAGGAACAAAAGAGGTCGCAGGTACAACCTTGTGGTGCATGACGATGACAACAATGACCTGGCTGACCTAGGGCTGTCCACAGTCAAGAGCAGCAGCTCCCTCTACGACGGGCAGGAAGACAATGACGTCAAGGACCTGGACCAGGACAACAAGGACGCCAAGAGCGACGCGGGATTCTGCACGGGCTCGGACACGGGCAGTGACGGGGTATTCGCCGAGGACAACATCAGCGACACGTCCTCGGCACTCGTGAGTTTGGTTTTACTGTCTATGCTTGCGCTCTCCTCTTGTTGTACGCTTTTTTATCAGAATGTATATTGTGTTTTGAGGAATGATGACTGCAACTTGATGTCTGTAAAAATCACTTATTTCTGAGGCACAATGTCTATACACACTGCATGTCTTACACAGGGAGACAAGAAAGAAACTCATGATTCGCTCCTGGATACTGGAGTTTCAAAGGAAGAGGAGCCGAGGATCAACGGACACGGATCCAGCCTGACTTCGGACATTCTCAATACCAACAATGCAAACTTGTATACAGAGGAGTACACCTACGACAAAGCCATTGAGGGATATAAACAGTATGCAGAGAATACTGCCAAGAAGCGCACGTCCAGCATCACAAGTCTGAACAGTAACACGAGCTTCACGAAGGAGGATGAGAGGAAGGACGAACGGCCTCGCCTCAACGGGCGCTCTCCAAGCCCTGCCAAGAGCAACAAGCTGGAGGAGAAGCTCAACTTCTTCACAAAGGAGATGGTCAAGGAGTCTCGCACGAGCCCTGAGCCCAGAGTCATCATGCGAGAGAAGTCACCCAAAGTTGATGTCGGGAAGAGAAGATCCATGTTCGAGATGGGCGAGCCGCTGATCAGCCAGAGTGAAAGAGAGCAGAAGCAGGCCAACAGGAGGTCTCTGGAAGTCCCTGGGTCTCTGCGGAACAAGGTTGCCTCGTTCGAGAACCTGGATATGGACACCCCGAAAGTTCGAGGAATGACTCCAAACATTGAGACGAACTTGAAGAGTAAAGTCAAATCATTTGAGAACCTTGACACAGAGACAACCAAGGTCCGAGGGGTTACGCCCACCAGGGACACCAAATTCCGCGAGAAACTAGCATCATTCGCAGCTGCTGACACCGAATCTCAGACAGTCAGAAAAAAGACTCCGGAAAGAGACGTCAACTTCCACAAGAAACTCGCATCCTTCACAAGCATCGAAAACGGTGAAGAAGAAAAGTGCGTTGAGAGGAAGACCATACCTCTGCGCGACCCAACTCTGAAAAACAAGATTGCTTCTTTCGAACAGCTGGAGCAGGCTGCTGAAGCATATTCTCAGCCTCCACGTGAAGAACCGGTGAAAAATAGGGACCGGTCTGTCAGCCTGGAAAACCTGGACGAACCGCCGCCGGTCAAGGAGGTAATGCGGCCTGCAGTTTCAATGGGCAACATGGGGCTCATGAGACGGGCTCCCTCGACCCCGTACATGGTGGTGGATCTAGACAAAACTGGGGTCGAGGAGGAATCTTGTATCAGGGAAAAGAGACCTGTGGTGAGTGATGAGCAAGAATCAGCCGGTGCTCGGGACCAAGCCAAGCGCTCTACCATCTACGAAACTATAGAGAAGTGCCAAGTGGTTCGTGACGTTGAGTCTGCTCCAATGTTTTCCATTTTCCAGTACCTCAGCCCAGAGGTTTGTCACACGAGTAATCAGAAGTTCTGTGTGTGTGACTTTGCGTTGATGAGAATTGCCTTTGATATATTTGAGCGGTGTGAATTAGAACTGATTTAGATTAGAGTGTGTTCCATAACATATTAATTAATAGAACTGTACATTGTTTTAATACACAACATTTTAAAGCAGTATATCGTAAATATCGTAAACGTTCTAAAATGGGCCAACGTAACAACGTTCATCTAATATTCTTAAACAAATTCTTTCATTCGCGAACACCGACCTCATCAGTGTTCTTTAATATCTAAAAAAATGAAATTGGGCATAATTTAACTGGAGTACATACAAAGAAACAATTACCAGTTACAAT